CTTAATTTCCGGACCATAATCCGGACTATCATCCGAACGTTCATCCGATCCAAACCTGGTACACATTTTCTGAGTGCGTGTTTGCAATGGAGTGAATTTGAACATATTTGGACATACAAGTTTAGATGTTCATATATCTTTGTACTAATGAAATTTTTAATGGATATAGTTCAAATGCAAACATTGGTCATAAGGCGCGGGTGAAACTCGGAACTTGTCGTAACTATAGTAAATTACGAAATTTTTTGTCGTAACTTTCTATAGTAGCAACAAATTCCGGAGTTTCTAATCCGTAACAAAATCAAAGGACTTTTATGTTCATATTTCAGTAAGGGATTTTTGTCGTAACTTTCTATAATAGCAACAAATTCCAGAGTTTCTAATCCGTCACAAAATCAAAGGACTTTTATGTTCATATTTCAGTAAGGGATTTTTCAAATTCGCGTACCGCAGATCATTTCTCTTTTTGATAAAAGATCTTTAATTGGAAATTCTTTTTTTATTCTATGGTACGAAATTTGTACCAATCATTGGCTGTGTTATTATTGGGCACACAACCGCCTTTTAAAGCTCAGGGATCCTAGAATACATATTCATAGAATAACATTTGCAAGAAAATTTTAAAGGTTTTTTTAAAACTGATTGTTATTTTTAGATAATAAAAAATGCTTTTTTTAAATAGAAAATAGGTTTTAGAATAACCTTTTAGTATATTGCAGATCATTTCTATATCGCGTAAAATACCTGACTGTATTTCTAGCTAATTTGATTATATTTATACTGTCTAAAGTAATTTTCAAATTCAAGCTACATTTTTAAAAAAAAGTCATTTTATCATATTAAATAATATCATCACAAATGATAGGTTCCGCAATTTAATCCCGTGAAAGTTGTTATTTACTATTTGGGGCTACTATTTGAAGTTTGTTTCTGACGGTACACAGTCTATCTAATCTTTTAGGAATTATGTTTGGTAAATCATAAACCTAAAAATCCAATGATGGGTTTTGTCTTGGCGGCACCCATTTAATTGAAAAAGATTACAAAGTTGTATCATCAATTGTTTACAGAGACATAACGATATTTTCTATTATTTCCTATATTAATACTAAAGAGAAGAACTTAATTTGATCAGAAAATGGATTTAATAGCAGAGCTGGAAGCGAATCAACGTCTATATGAAAACGGTAAAATTAATGAGGATGAATATAATAAACGTCGAAAGACAATATTTGATAGATCTGTTGGGTTATTTGAAAAAAAAATTCTGATTCCGACGGTAAGATTGAAAAAAAAAACAGTATATTTAAAGAATATTCTTTAAGGATATGCTAATTATTTATGACCTGTTATAGAAGTATCTAGTAAACCAAAGAATACGAATTTGTACGAAATTCTTCAATTAAATCCCAATGCAACTGATGCAGAAATTAGATCAAATTATAGAAAACTTGCTTCTAAATATCATCCAGATAAAAATGGCGGCATTGAATCTGAAGAGGTATTCGCCTAAACTTTTTTTTTAAATTTTTTACACTCACTAATACTAATTAATATTTTTTATAGTGGAACAAGCTTTCAAATGCTTACCAAATCCTTTCAGACACGAACAGTCGTTATCTTTACGATAATTTTGGAACAGTAAGCAATTGTAAGTCTTAAAATTTATCTTACTTTAATAATTTTTTTGTTGTAGTTTTATAAAGATTGATGATTTCTATTTACTTTTAGCCTTAGGAAATAAAACTTCACTAAACCATTATGTTGGAGGTGACGCATGGCAACCTTATATTGGTAACTTGGAAATTGGCCTTTGGATGTTCTCATTTACGGATAATGGAAATTCACCAGAAATAGAACATTTGACTACACCTGAACAAAAAGAGCACCGTCACATAGTTCGTGTATCTAACATCGTTCGTTACCTACAAGACAAGCTTACTCAATTTCCAAAGCAAGGAGATTCTTCAGAGTTTGAATCATTTGTGGAAAGTCTTCGTCAAGAAGCTTTGAAACTCTTTATAGAACCTAATGGCAAACATTTGCTATCCTTTTTAGGAGAAATTTACATGACCAAGGCTCAAACATACTTAAATAAGTTTTCTGTGTCAAGCATTAAATGTTCTAGCCTTTTTAACAATTTCAGGTTTATGACTGATATGATTTCTGGATTTTTTGCGGCTAAAAGTATAAAGCAGATGAACCAGGATGAGGTAGAAGTCTGAATATTTTTCTCTATAAAAACTCAAAGCATTATTTAATATATATTTTTTTAAAAAAATGTATGCAGATCAGCGAAGTAATTTGGCAAATCTCGCGGTCAGAAATATCTTCTATCGCTTGTGAACCTTGCGATAAAATTCTGAATAATAAAACCAATGATGATTTGGATGTAAAATATCACCTTGCAAATTCTCTTCTTCTTTTGGGAAAAGTGTGGTTGGAAATAAGCAAGCAATAAAGAATGTAATATCAATTTTCTCAATTAAAATTGATACAGTATTAGGAACTATTTTGGTCACACAAGATTAATCAATTTATTGGCCTTGTTCAGGTTGACAAACCTTAAAAAAAATTTAATACATATTAGTTTTAAAATTTGTTTTGCGGATCACTTTAAGATTCACATAAACCAATTGACTAAACGTATTGAGAAATTATTTCTTATAAATCATGTACAAGTAAAATGTTGTCAAATTTACTTTTTGATAAAATTGCAATCTAAGATTAAATGCCATAAGTCATTGTGGCGCATCAATTGATAAAATTACTAATTAAATTTTTACAGACAACAGACACAGTGTCTGAAATTCAATTTTTAGCTAGTTGCGGGCCGCAACTAAATTAAAGATCTACTTGCTGATTATATAAATTTAGTTGAAATATATATGCAAATTCACAAAATTCATTTGCGGAACCGCAAATTCATTTCAGATTTTAGTTATGGAAAATTATAAATCATTTGCGGTCCGCAACCCAATTTCAGACACTGTCCGGACATCGGTTGAATTAATAAGAATAATGTTATAAATTCTACAGTCTGATTTTTCTGCTACAATCAATTAACAAATATAAGTCAAATTAAAAAATATTCATTCGAATGTCTAAATTAACGATGTGAGAAATAAAAGAGATACCGACCTGATTATTCCAGAGATATTTATTCGATATACGTATACAGTAATACCCGATCATGTACATGACAAACTAACCAATAATATTTATACATATGATTGAACATGCATTTATAATTAATAGAAAGACCGCTGAATTTTGAAGTATTTTGAGACATTAAACAAACTAGCAAAATGACACATTTTATATGATGGAACCTTATTATGTTTTTACATCATAATTTTAGGAATAAGCAGTCCTTGTTTTCATTGTTCTCATCGATAATCTATACATTAATGTAATTCATCAAAGATCAGTACAAACTTTTGATAAGCCTAAATATAGAGCTCATAGAAGTTCTAATTTAATGTTGTGCTAGTTCAATTAAGACATAATTTTTGGGTTTTTTGTATGATATAGTATTGAACCTGTATAGTTATCATTTCGAGAGTTACTTAAATAGTGAGTCTACAAATCAATTGCGCTCTGTCAAATTATTCTCTGTTCTAGATTTATTTTTTAATATTTATTAGATAGATAAATGTCTTTATTTTTGTAATCTAAAAATTTATCGAAAAAAAATAAATTTCAATATGCCAAAAAAAAATGTATTTTCACGATTATCAATTAACAGCTTGTTAGAATATTTTAACCACTGATTTAAGTATTCAAATAATATACTTAATTTAGATCCAATTTTCGAAATGCTAAAATTAGGTTCAGTTGAACTGGGAAGTTGTGAATTTGAAATTGAGTAGAGTAAGCCTTGATGGCCTTCACTACGCTCTCTCATCTCCAGGCCCTTAGTCACAATGAAATATGTGCATGTAAATACAAGCAATTATATATATTACATGAAGACCTGTTGTGACATAAATATGATTATGGGAGAGTATCATATTAGGATTCGAACGGAAGGTCTTATTTCCTATAAGTACGGACTGCCGTGAAATACAAGAAAAATGAAATGATAAAAACGGCAGTTTCGTCACAATACTTAGATGTAAAATAAGATTTGTATCATATGTTTTTTAAGTAAAAGATAAAAAAAAATCAGAGTTACATGTTGATAACGTAAAAAATCTTAGAAATCTTCGAACTATAAAATCCCATTTGCCCGTACGTTGTTGTTGTGGTTGTTGTTGTTGTTGTTGCTGCTGTTTCTATTGGAATTATAAATCATTGAAAATTTCAAAAGAAAACAAATATAAAGAAATATAAATTTCAGATATTGAAAGGTATAATAAAATGTATACTCTATAAATTTGAAGGTATATAACAGAGTATAACGTATAAGTTGATAGATAAAAAAAATTAAATAATACAAAAATTGATAAAGACAAAAAATTGGAAAGTACAAAATTTGAAGTGTTTTATCTTCCATTAGTATATCTTTAATATGCTTGATCTAAAAAAAAGAATATATAACCTTTTGTAAAAATTAAACAGTTTGATTGGAATATAATATGTAACTAAATATTATAAAATTATACAACCAAAATGGTATAAAGATATATAACAATGATTGTTCAAAAGAAATTGAGTTAAAAGCACATACAATTAAGAATTCTGGTTTTCAAATGTTTGACCTAATACTTACTTTTTAAAAATGTAATTGGAGTTGTTGCGTTATTTAGAATTATTTTGAGATTTTCTGATTTTTTTAAAATTGATAGAACTTCAGACATTTACAAACTGATAATGTTGGAGAGTACACGTGTCAACTGTAATCGATACTTCTTATTCTAAAGAAATGATATCAATAATGACTTACTAATAATATTATGAATTGTAATTTGTTTCTTGAAGTAATGAGGTTTCTGATTTAAAATGATATATAATTCTAAACCAAATAATACAGCTTTTATGTGTTACTTATTTTGTAAATTAATAAAATTTTAAAGGTGTTGGGTTTTAAATACTCACATACTAACAATTTTATGTGAGCGAATATATGATTTTGAGTGAAGTGAAGGTCACTTGTAACGTATAAAGATGTATATGGATTTGATGTGTCCGACAGGCACATATATGAATTTTATTCGTACTATAAATCAAATAAAATCATTTGTGAAGGTTTTATTTCTCAATGATGAATGTTTGTCTTCAAAAATATACCAACCAAAAACTCTGCTCTATCATATAATTTGAAAATTTCTTTTATCAACGTACGTACGTTAGTTTTGGGGTAACCACATATATAGTATATACCAACAAAAGGTACTAACCGTAAATAGCATATAAATCGATTGAATTTGGTAGATGTATAAGTAATCACGCCTAAATCAGAAACGTATTATATAAGTACGTATAAGCTCACTTTTATGGATAATCAAACGTTTGTTTCTAAATCTAGCGGTTTACTCCAGTTTGAACATCATTATATAAGGTTTAAGAATCAAGTTTATTAACTTTAGACGGAATTTTGAATTCTATTTCCAGCAAGATCATTCTAGTGAATTATTACATTTCAAATACGTATTTCTGATTTAACCGGTTAATTTTTAGATTTATAAAAATGGTAAAAATATTCATGTGACAAAATACTTTTTGGTAATACTTTTGCTTACGTTTTTAATTTTTGTATTACTCTTAATTTTCAACTTTAGGAACCTCAAAGGCCAAAAAATGCTATTGAAATATCTTTAGTTTCAGTAAATCCAAAAGTATGATTTTTGGCAGGAAAAATCTTTCCAAATTAGAAAAAAAAACAAATTACTTTTACCTTGATTTTACTATCGACTAATAATTTGAATCACGAATGTCAGAGTTATTTTGAGACTAAATCTGACAATTTAATAACTAACCAGTTGATTACAAAGGTTTGACGCATGTTAAACGAGGTTACTAATTTTCCAAAGTTCCCATTGGACGCGTAGGAATCTGGGAACCTAGTTCCTGATTTACAAAACAAATTACGGCTAATTTTCGAAAATTCCGATCACCGTGAAATAAAAAAATTTCGCAACCAGCGTAATGTTTATCTTATTCTGATTTTAGAGATGAATCTAGCTTAATCATTTAGTACGGAGTTTAAATGGATACGTATCATTTCACCGACAATCACTTCACCGACATCTTAGTCACCGACAATTAATTCACCGACAAGTTCATTTCATCGACAATTAATTTGCCGACAAGTTCATTTCACCGACAAGTTTTTTTTATAAATTACACTAACCTTAACTCTAATTCTAGCTTGACTTTAATGACAATGACCAGAATTACTTTGTGTGTGAAATGCTGTCGGTGAATTAATTGTCGGTGAAATGAACTTGTCGGTGAATTAATTGTCGGTGAACTATTGGGGTGTTAGATACCAAATGATTAACTATCATAGTCCAGTACTATATGATTGGCCCACTAATAAAGATT